CCACCCCGCCGTGTCTCCGGGACTTGCCTGCCCCAAACTTCTCAGGTACCAGGCGTTGTGCTGGGCGCCGCGGTGGTTGAAACCAAAAAAGCTGGGGCACACGTATCGGGAATACGTATTACGTCATGATTTGGCTCTTGGCACCCCAAGAAGAGAGCTGGGTCTTTCACTCAGCCAAGGACGACAGGACAAAAAAAAAAAAAAAAAAAAAAAAAAAATCACGAGAGGGGAGAGAGGAGAAGGGGCGGTAGTGAGGAGTGAGAGAGTTCTCCAGTGGGAAGTTCACCTGGCTCAGGATAGGATGGGGCTCTCCTTAAAGACAAGACTCCCCACAGCCCTGCCTTCCCCCTCCAAAAAACATGCTGGGTCCTCAGGCAGTGGGACGGGTCCCGGTCCCTTGTTCAGCTTGACTCGCACATGTGACAAAGCTGGGCTTGACCAGGAATACAACCTTTCGAGTTAAAAATAAACTTGGCAAGAAGAGGATAGTATCCTCTTTCTGAGGGGAGGGAGGGAGAGAGAGAGAGAGAGGGAGAGGGATAGGAAGAGAGAGCAGGAATGCTAACCAGCTAATAAAAAGCCTGGCCACCTGTCCAGGGATCTTTTGGGGGCACTGCAAAGTACTTTCCATCAAACCAGTCAAAACCTAGATTTTTACTCTGCAGATAGAATTGCAGCTAACAGCTCGTTAATTTTTATGTGCTGGTCACAATGGCCTAAGAGCTGTGTAAACAGGCAGCTGTTCCTATAAAGGAATCATTGAGTCCTGTGTGAAGGTTGCGGGAACATGATCTAAAATTTGAGGTCTGGCTTTAGAACTCGTGGAAACATAAGGTCCAGAGAAGGAAATCAAAAGCATTTGGAGTCCACATGTAATTATTAGCAAAGTGGACATTTGAGACGTAGCTTTATTTATTTTTATGAGTTACCATTTTTCTCCCAGAATCCCTATTCAGTATGTATCTAGAGTTGTGAACTGAATCACTTATGCCCTTAAATATCTCTTTAACATCTCAGAGAGAAAGCCATAAACATTTATTTGCTTTATGTGCCTCAACTATTTCAATTGAGACATCACTGAAGGAAGTAGTTGATGATTTTTTACAGGAGAGTTATTGTGAGCATTTATAAAGCCATCCTGCTTATGAGCTAAATTTATTATGTTTGCCAGGTTAATCTGTTTTCTCTAATCGGACACTTAATCATCCAGTCTCCTCCCTGCATTACACATTCATGAATTTGAACTGAAGAGAGTTGCTCAGTCAGGACAAAATGATGGATTATCTTTTTATTTTGGGGGTATTTGTGATTAAATGCCTCATAACAGAATTAAAGTGGAATAAATTTTATAATTTTAGTTCTAGATTCCTGCCAGATATAGATAAAAACACATTCATTTAAGAGCAAATCCAATTCAGTGCCTAGATGGAATTTACAGGAGAAACAGAAAGCTGTGTAGTACAGGAAAGCTGAATTCTCCCTTCCTTTTTGTAGATGGGAGAGATGACCAAGCAATCCATAGCACTCTATGAATGAATAGCACAGAATCAACCTTTGCATTCAGAAAGCATGAGGAATTAGCTCAGGGCAGTGATAGGTAAGGTTTATTTGAATCTATAACCTCCAGCTGTAACTTCCAGGGTTGGGCATGGTTTGTGGGTGGAGCAAATGTTAGATTACAACTGGATCACCAGTCCCCGTTATTTTGGCTATTACAGTCCACGAAAGCAGCATATAAGTAGTACACACTCCATCAATGACTAGTTGAGTTGCAAATGCTGAAACATATTGAAATAACTGTAATAGGGAGAGGTCAATCGTGTTTGTTATTAAATAGAGTCTATATTCGCTCAAAAGCATTATGAGGGAGCAAGAGCCATTATTTGCCTTTTTAACAAATGGAGATGACAATCAGTTGACATTGAGTGACACTGGACCAAAACCTCAAAAGGATCCCATGAAGATTTTGTGCATGTGCAGGATATCTTATGATCAGCAAAGCACTTTCATAGCTTCTGTGTTACTGGATCCTCGCTGCAAACCTGTGTGTCCTCCTCAGATCCCGGAAGTTGCTGGAAAGCCTGAGAAGTGAAGTTCTGTGTGCACAGCCTCCTGGGGTAGAATTGAGGTCAGGCCTCATAAAGTCTTATGGTTTATCTATTTGTTTGTTTGTTTTATGGCACGGGGATTGAACCAAGTGCCTCCTGCATGCTAAGTGCACACTCTTCCACTGAGCTACAGCCTCAACCCTAAAGCCCTTTTAGATTAAAACACACACACACACACACACACACACACACACACACACACACCCCCATTGACTATTTTCAGAACGCTCTTACCACAGACAAATAATCAACACATGGGGGGTAGTTACGCTAAATACACTAATTATTATGTATTATTATAGGTGTGCTAAAACCTCATACCACATTGCCTAACTATGTACAACTATTCTCTGCTTATTAAAAGCAGTGCTAAAAAATGCAAACAGAGCAAGAAGTAGATATAAACTCAAATACCCCTATAATTATTGTAAGGTTAAAATAAATAACACTGTCAAATAAGAGAGCCCCACAAGAGTAAAAGACCTGCCCAAGTATGGGGTGAAGGAGCATGGTGTGGAAAGGGTCTTTGTGACGATCTCACAGCCTTCCCTGAGACATCCGAAGAGGTGGCACAGGGACTGTTGGCTACGTTGCATGACGAAAGAGAGTGGAGACAGATAATCAAAGAGTCCCAACCTTGGGCTTCAGAATCCACAGTGTTCAAGTGTAAGCTTTTGAAACAAGTCTACTTAGATTGGATTTTTTTTTTCAAATTGCTAAATCTCCTCATTCATCCTGATCTTTGCATCTGTAGTCAATAGGATTGTACATAGAGGTTTGCTTCCTTACAGGTGCTGTGAGCATGCACACTGAGGCTCAGTGATGCTTCCGAGGGCTCTGCCTCCTTCGGAGTGATTGTGCTTGCTGAATTAGGCTGAGCCAAGTCTCGGGGTAGTCAGGGAGATGGACATAGAAGAGAACGACTTGATGGAATCTAGACGTGGGTCATAGAAGAGACCTATGTGTACATGGAAAAGAAGAGCATCTGTGTGTTTTCTGCAGAAGTAGCCTGCATGCTGCAGAAAAAAGACAATGAAAAAGTCTTGAGAGGTAAGACAGGAGTCTTAGGCTTTCATTTCAGGTCGGCTACCTACTGTCTGCGAGACACCATGACACCATGACACAGGTTCTTTATGAGCCTCTGAGCCTCAGCTTATAATACATGAGATGTAATGTATCCCATCTCTACAGATGTGTGAATTGGCAGTGCATGTATCTTAATATATTACAAAGAATAATCTTGAACTACAAATTTAAATATAACACAAGGGTATCTTTGAAAGTCACCCTTAAATCTCACCATATTTAGGAATAAAATGGCTAAATAATATAAATAGCTTTCGTGTGTTTGCTCTCATTTACCACTTTCAACTTTTAAATTCAGAGCAAGTTTTCTTACTTATTAATCATAACATTTACATATTATATCTATATAGAGTCACTTAAAAGTGGTACTGACAACAGTCAAGGCTTTATGGCCTTTTATCGATCTAATAAATAAAAGCACATCATTAATAGGAGGCCACAAATATAAATGATTTTAGGGACTTTGCCCTATGGAAAAATCATGTAGTGCATTTGGGAAAAAGTAATTCTGACTTTTCCCTCTATAAAATGCTAAATTTCTGCACAAAATCTTCTAGCACAAGTGTTTACAGGACTCTTGGTGACAAGAAAAGCGACAGTAAATGTGCTTGAGCCCTGAAATTCATGTATCCATGGAAACGTGGGAAGTTGGGTGAGCACACATGCTCGCAGTCTACAGTATTTATCGGGGGGGGGGCGCTGCGGCAGTGATCAGTGGGTTACAGTGCTGCGAAACGCTGACAGATTGCTGAGGGAGACTTTGCCCAGGCCTCCATTGGGCCGTTTTCCTCTGCTGAATGTAGTTACAAGGAAATTCAGAAATCTCAGACATCACAGAGAAGAAGCATGGTCATGCATGTGTACTTGGGTCTTCCTGAATACCATATTCTGCAGTCAGATTTTTAATCAGAAAATGCTTGACAAGCCATCCACATGTCCCTCACACATCTGCAGCTATGTTCAAAATCTCTCTAGATTTTCCATGTGTGAAGGTGCATATATTTCATGGATGCTGGGGTGAAATGCCACATGTTTCATCAAACTGATTACTGCCGCGAATTTAAATGTGTCCCTGGTCAATCTTTCCTAATGTAGAATTGCTTTCAAAACAGAGAGCATAAAGATCACCTACACGCATCTGAAGTGTTTACAACCCAAGACCAATATTCTAATAAAATGCGAAGCAGTATTATTTGTAAAGATGTAGCCACACAACGTGCTATTCTCGTAAAAGCCTGTGTATCATCTCCTTTGGACCTTACAATCTTGATAGGTATTATTAACCTCCTTTCCCCTCCATTGCCAAGTGCTGAATATTTTCTCCAATATCACTGCAGATGGTGATAACTTACAAATGATCTGTATGTGGAAACAGAGTTAAATTATTAGTAAGTCCTTAAAAATACACTGTGTTTTGTCCTCAGAAACTTTGCATTGATTTTTTTCATGTTTTGTCTTCCAACAATGCACTGGCCAGCATGGTGGACACTGGCTACATGTGGCAACTGATCAAAGCTATGGCTGCTACTACACATAGAATAATATTCGAATATATTGGGTTTAGTCAAGCATACTGCTTTCATTGCCCCTGTTTGATGATTTCTAATATGGTTGCTAAACTACTTTAAAATACGTGTGGGGCTAGCACTGGGTAGCTTTCCAAAGGGGGTCTAAAATGTCCCCCAGAGTCTCACGTGCCAGGAAGGAGATTGGAACAAGGAAGTGCTGTGCTCGATAGTGAGTTCATCTTCCACCCCTTCCTCCTCGTCCTCTTCCCTCTTCTTCCTCTTCCCTGCCCTCACCTCCCCTTCCTCTTCCCCTTTCCTCCTCCTTTCCTTCTTCCTCTTCTCCTGCTCCTTTGTCTTTGTCTTCTTCCCCTTCTTGTTTGGTATATGCAGTCTATACACTCTTGCATTTGACTTGCCACCCTTTTCACCAGAACAAACTTTGTCACATCTATTGCTTTCATCTAAAGTACTTTCAGTTATCCTCCTCCTTGTGGACCATGTCTCTCTTTCCTCTTTTCCTCCATGGCAAAACCTCAGTTAGCAAGGTCTCTTCTGTCCCTGTGACACCCAGCAAGCCCCATCCACACAGGACTCCCAGTTTGCCAGGAATGTGAGACGAGGCCTGACAAGTGCTAGGCAGGAAATGCTAGGCGGAAATGGGCTCAACCACATCCTGCTGTCACGACAAAGTAGCTGAGACTATTTTGTTTGTATCACTTTGGATTATCATTGTAATCTGAACTCAGCTGACAGCTTGAGTCATAATCTAAATAGTCATCTGTGGGCTGGGCAATATTCTAATTTGTATTTATTTTTTATTTTTGAGACAGTTTTGCT